TCAGCGGCCCCGGGAGCGGCCCCGGGAGCCGGGGCGCTTCCCGCTCCCGGTGCGCCCGCGTTGCTGCGCTTGGGGCCGGCCCCATTGGCAGGGGCTCTGCGTCGGGAAGCAGCGCGGGCTGCCCCGGCAGGCGATGCAGACCGCGGAGGCCTCGGGAAAGGCGGCCCCGGCACACGCACACAGTGCCCTTTCCCGAAAGCCGTCGACCGGGCGGCGATTCCTGCGGGCTCGTCCGCAGTGACCTCCAAAAATCCCCCCTGCTGTAACGTGAGCTGCCACGTGGGCGCCCTTCCTCGGGCCCCCAGAGTGGTTGGCGTGCGCCCCACACCARAGATCGCACCCTTTTGTAGAGCCGAGAGTGTAAATATGAGCACACGCTTTCATTCTCCAGGTCCCCAGTGGAGATAAGGAAGTCTGTGTCCCCTTAATGAGAGCACGTGACACTGTCCGGCAGTTTAGCTTCTCCCTTGGCCACTTGTGACCTTGAGGAACATGTTCCCTTTGCTCAGGGAGCTAAGTAAGGATGTTGCTCTTATAATTGGGAAAAAAAAAAAGGGTGGTGCTTAGTGTTATTTTATATCACTTCATTACTTTAGAGGCAGATGTTTTAGAAAAGTGCTGGTTTTATTTTTTTAAGTAAAATCTGTAGAGAAGTAGTCTCTTGCTTAGCTCAAGGCATTCAGTGCTAGTTGCTAAAAGGTGTTAATGTTTGCTTTGAACCAACAATTGCTTGATATACTGCTTCCAAGTGACCATTCATAAAATGAGGGCAAATCTTTTATTAGGGTAGCGGATTGGGTTTTATTTTGCAGTGTATTATYGCACAAGTACATGCAGGCACCTGCTCAAATGAATATTGTATAATGAAAACAGGTAGTGTCAGCACAGTGAACATAGGGAATCTGATTTTCTATTGTCATGCTAAAGCTGCACCCTTTCCCCCCCCCTTTTTTCCCTGTGTAAAGCTAAGTGTGTAATATATTCAGGTAATGAAACATGCGTCTAGCTGAGCTCTTTAGGAAGCAAATGAGATTTTCAGCTCGTGTGCATCAGCCAAGGGCTTTATTCCGCATGTGAATCATCTTAGCAGTTGCTGCAGTGCTGCCAGCCTTGAGCCTGGCACAAATTATTAATATCAGGCCTGCTCTCCTCCTGCTCTCCAACAGCTTCAGAATAGGCGCTGCATAGGAAGCTTACCTCTGAGGGAAATAAATTGCAATTAGCCTGGTTCAGGCTAATTATCYTATTAAAATATGGTGACTCTTCGGAAAGTCTCAGAGGGTCAAGATCTTTTGTTTCATGCATGTCTTGAGAGATGCTTTTAGCAGCAATCTGCTTCCTGAGTCGTGCTGGCTGACAAGTGACTGACAGAACAGCACTGTGAAATCCTAAGAGACGGGGTTTTATTGAGGCTCCTGTGAGTACTGGAATTGCGTACAGGGAGGTTTGTATATGCTGGCAAAAAGCAATATTGGCTGGAATTAAACTGCTCTTCACCACGCTATTTTTAGGTGCTCTTTGGAGGTGGGGCTGGAAAGYGAGGCTGCATTTTGATGATACGACGCTGCTGTTTTTAGGCTGAATCACGGTGAATGTTGGAAACAGGACTGGGGTCCATAAATYGAGGAGGACGAGGAAAGATGGTGTTTTGGGTTTCCAGTGGAATCGAGGGCTGGTTTCTTGGATAGGAGTGTGTGTAGTTGCTACTCCTTCGAACACAAGCTTTTGCTCACTGGGCTTTTCCGCCGTATGTGGTGCACAGTGTCCAAATGTGTGCCCGTGATACACAGACTGGGCTTTGTATCTGGACTGATTTCTATAGTAGGCTCAGTGCATGACAGGTAGCTTTTAGAGTAAGCTTTTAAAATCTATAAAAATATCACTTGATTTTCTTTAGGAATGCAAAAATAATAATCCATTTAGTAGGCTGGCCTTCTCATGTCTTACAAGGAAGCTTTTCCCCTGCCAAAATACTGCCGGCCTGAAGAGCTCTCTAATACTTGATGTGGTTTCTTTTACTGAAATCTGAAGAAAGATGCTCTGGGACTAACATGAAAATAGATGGCAGAGGCGAGGCCGTCACTTGGCCACTGTCTGGTCAGTACAGACTCTTAGGGGTTTGTGCAGAGGCACCGGCAGGGCTGCTCCATACTGACAGCTTGCTGGTGTTTCGTATTTATCTAATCAATGATCCAGGCAATTGGCTGATTATTCTGGTTGTGGGGGCCTCTTAGCAGTCCCTGAATTAAAAGGATGGGTAGACATCTCAGTGTCGTGAAGACTTTATGATCATTTTAATTGGCAGATCTGTTCTTCTATACACTAAAATATAGTGAAATGTAGTTTTCAGTTTATTAGGTGGTAGGGAGAATCTCTGATAATTAGKTGTGTCACAGGGTTAGCTTGTGGGTGAGAGAAGGCATGACTTCATTAAAACAAAACATCTTTCCTAGCCTGGGGTTGGGAAAAGATTAATTTTCCATGAACAGTGGTGAAATTCCTCGTTGTTTTTCCAAGCATTCCAGCACTTGGAGGTTTTTCCAAGGTGTTGGCTGTCTCGTGAGTTAAAAGCAACGTGCTCCACAGCATTAATTGTGCCGGGTAGATGGTAATTTAAATCACCAAAGTCCAAAGCTACGTTGTGGTAGGTGGAGAGCAGGTTATGCTCGTGTTTCCTTTTGCCCCTGGGAGAATGGAAGCTCCCCCCTCTGACACTGGGATACCTTCTGAAACCTCCACTTAGGAGCTGCAACACATGGAGTTAATGACTGCCCCTCATTTGTACCCTACTGCAGATTTTATTTTTTTTTTAAATAAAGATGTTCTGCAACTCCTAAAATACTGTACGTCTGCATTGCTTCCACAGAAACCTCCATATCGCCTGTTGCCAGTGTGCTTGCTCTTAGGATCGCCTCCAGATTTCCTCACCTTTTTTTTTGTGTGGATGCTAGTAAATGTTACCAAAAGGACAATAAAAACAAGAGATCCAAAAGTAAATTTGTGGCTATATCTCATTGCTCATGGTTATTCTAGGCAGTGCTTTTAAATCCTGGTAACCAGAAAACTAGGGAGGGAATACTGGTAACAACAGAGGATGGTTATTAGGGCTGTTGCTAGTGTGAGAGCAGTGGTTGGTGCTGCAGTTCGGCTCTGCACAAAGGACACTTACTGAGGGAGAGAAAATGGGCTTGGGCACGCTCCTCCCGAGCACAAAAGGGATATTCACTCGAACACTGCTATATTGATGAACATGCGCCTAACAAAGCCTTGTAATGCCAAAGTGAAGGAGGAATAGAGGCAGAAAAAAGTGTCAAGATGAAAATTTTAGAAGACAAGCAAGTTCTTCAATCTTTTTCTAGATTTCTAGCACTGATGGCTGAGACTCGTGGAGGATTTAAGACGTGCACGCGGCAAATTCTTTTCAGTTGTATCGAGGCCCTCCTTTGACTTGTTCTCCAAAGTTGCATGAGAGCCTTTTCACCCGGGGARCTGGCTTGTTCCCTGCAGGCCAGAGGCTGCAAAGCTGCTTTGCCTTGGGCTGCCCTTCTCCCACGGGCTGCTGARCGGCTTCTCTGTGGAGACTGCCAAGGGAAACGGAGGCTCTTTTCCCCACTGGATCTGCTGCGGATATTCTCACACCAGCAGTGTATTTTGTCCCTTCTTCTGTTATCTCGCTGGTGGGGCAAGCGCACCCGTCCTCATCCTACACGACAGGGGCAAGGCGAGCGTGCCTTGGCGAGGAGGAAGAGGAGGAGCACGTGGATCCGCACATCCAGCTCGGTGAAGATGAGACCTTTGTTCCACGATTGTGCCCTGTCCTGCTCTGTGCTGCAGCGTAAACCGTGCACGTACATGGACGTTGCTCTAGAAATGCAGGGAGCTTGTGCCAGCACAGGGGCCCTGCAGAGGGAACCTGGCTTCGGGCAGGGAAGCAGAAGGGCATCTACTCTCCTACTTTATTTTATTTTATTTTATTTTATTTTATTTTATTTTATTTTATTTTATTTTATTTTATTTTATTTTATTTTATTTTATTTTATTTTATTTTATTTTATTTTATTTTATTTTATTTTATTTTTTGTCTCATCAGCAACATAAACTTGCTACCAGGGAGTGAACAAAACCCTTGAATTATCTTGTTTTGGAAACGGCAGGTTCTTCCCCACCCCACATTGCTGTAAAACCTCAGGAGTATAGCAAGGTGTATAGCAATATACCAATGAATTGGTATGTTCATTCGGCTGGTGTTGAATATTTGACTATTGCCTGCAAGCAAATTTCTCACTGAAATCTGTTACAAATAAAAATGTAAAATAATTGAGTAAATAGTACCAATTCTAGGTAACCTGATGTCTCCCTCTTCAATACAATATGCGATATTAAGTGATCAAATGCTCGCTAGATGTTTTTAAAAACCTGTGCGAATGTTCTGTTTCTTGTAAAGTCCCAGGAAGAGCAAATGGAAAAGAAATCCCAGTGCTTTATTGGCGTTTGTTGTAGGGCTTTACTCTGCCAAATCTGCTTTGCTTTCCTAATACTCTCCTCTTTTCAGCATGCCTTGAATAGCGGGGTGCGGCGCTACCATGTTGCTCCCGTCCTGTGCCAGCGGGCCAAGGTGGCCATGAGCCACTTTGAGCCCAACGAATACATCAACTATGAAAAGCTGGAGAAGAACATCAACATTGTCCGGAAGAGGTAAGGCCGGAGGGGTCCACGGCGCGGAATTCAGCTCTGCGGTGCGGGAAGAGGAGGACAAGGGAATAATGCAGCAGGGAGGCCTGGCAGAGGGGCWGTCTGCTGCAGGGAGCAGCTTTGAGGAGCGGCGGCTGCCGATGCAGTGAAGCGGCAGCCGCTGGGGTGTCTGTGTAGCAGGGGCACGGCGGGGAGGGTGGAGGGTTGCAGAAGCACCGTGACGTGCAGAGGAGATGCTGGAAAGGGCTCTGCTTGCCTTGCTTAATGCCCTGTGTCAGGAGCCCTTGCGCCTTGCCGGGCAAGCGGTACCCGGGCAATGGTCACTCTGGGCCAGTGCTCCGTTGCTCTTTGCAGCCACTGTCACTGTGCTCCTGGGCTCCACTGTAGGCATTAGGCACAAAAAGGAGGGCTAGGAATCCGTAGTGCCTGTGGGCACGGCCACTTTCATCTGCTGATGAAGGCTKGTGTGTCTGCTCGCTTACCATTCCTGCTCCACATACCTTGGTCGTGCTGTGGAAGACATGTCCTTTGGCCTTGTTAAATAAAGTAGCTTTCAAATCATTGCATGTAGGCAGGTACTTCCCAGAAGATCCCGCTGCTGACAAATAGGCTCCTCAATGGAGAGTGCTGGTCAGGAGCCCGCAGCACACAGGGCTTAGCATCAGGAAGCTTTGTGTGCTTGTCCTTGCTTGTCCTTCGTTGTCCCCACTGCGGCATCTTGTATCTATGAACAGGATGACCTGTCTCATCTCCACATCTGCTCTCCTGAGTTACGATCTCAAGAAGTGAGCACAGTGGAAGCTTAATTTTTACTTTTCTGTATAAGAATATTATACCGTGACATCAATTCAGATCCTTTTGAACTGTCAGCACTGAGTCCCGTCCTGTTTCAGCCAGCTGCTACTTGATATTTCAGTCGTATAAAGTGTACAGGTTTCTGTGGGTGAAGGTGTCCTAGAGTGTGCGTGGTAATGGGAAGTGGGGTGTATCTTGGTTCTGTTACCTGCTTTAAAGGGCAAAGGCTGAAATACACAAGAAGGAAATAGCAAAATTATTTTTCCCCAGGCTTGACCGTCCCCTCACCTTGTCTGAGAAGATTGTCTATGGGCACCTGGATGACCCGGCAAAGCAGGAGATCGAGCGAGGCAAGACGTACCTGCGGCTGCGGCCGGACCGCGTGGCCATGCAGGATGCCACGGCGCAGATGGCCATGCTGCAGTTCATCAGCAGCGGGCTGCCCAAGGTGGCCGTGCCCTCCACCATCCACTGCGACCACCTCATCGAAGCCCAGGCGGGCGGCGAAAAGGATCTTCGAAGAGCCAAGGTTGCTGTTGCAGAGACTTCGGCTCGGTTTCCTCGGGGGCCTTTCAGCTCTGTTTGCTTGGCCTGGAAAAGAGTTTGTATGTTTTGCAGAGGGGAGCCATAAATTAGAGTTGATATTAGATTGCCTGGGATGGTCAGCTCTGAAGATAGTTCAAATGCAGTAGAAAAACAGAGTCTTTCTGTTTGAGATTCATCCGTCACGTGGCTTAAAAGACCACGGCTGCAGGAAGAGCTGGCCCTAACCTGCTAGGGAGCCCAGGTAGTGTGTGTTCTTGGGAGTGAGAGGGTGTTTCACCTAAGGGAAGAGGAGAAATAATCCAAAGAGAAGGGAAGGAAGGGAAGGAAGGGAAGGAAGGAAGGAAGGGAGGAAGGGAGGAAGGGAGGAAGGGAGGGAAGGAAGGAAGGAAAGGAAGGAAGGAAAGGAAGAAAGGAAGAAAGAAAGAAGGAGGGAAGGAAGGAAGGAAAGAAGGAAGGGAAGGAAGGAAGAAAGGAAGAAAGAAAGAAGGAAGGAAGGAGGGAAGGAAGGAAGGAAGGAGGAAGGAAGGAAGGAAGGAGAAAGGAAGGAGAAAGAAAGGAAGAAAGAAAGAAAGGAAGAAAGGAAGAAAGGAAGAAAGGAAGAAAGGAAGAAAGGAAGAAAGGAAGAAAGAAAGGAAGAAAGGAAGAAAGAAAGAAAGGAAGGAAGAAAGAAAGAAAGGAAGGAAGAAAGAAAGAAAGAAAGGAAGAAAGAAAGGAAGAAAGGAAGAAAGAAAGGAAGAAAGAAAGAAAGGAAGAAAGAAAGAAAGGAAGAAAGAAAGAAAGGAAGAAAGAAAGAAAGGAAGAAAGAAAGAAAGAAAGGAAGAAAGAAAGGAAGAAAGAAAGGAAGAAAGAAAGGAAGAAAGGAAGAAAGGAAGAAAGAAAGGAAGAAAGGAAGAAAGAAAGGAAGAAAGAAAGGAAGAAAGGAAGAAAGAAAGGAAGAAAGAAAGGAAGAAAGGAAGGAAGAAAGGAAGGAAGAAAGGAAGAAAGAAAGAAAGGAAGAAAGGAAGAAAAAGAAAGGAAGGAAGGAAGGAAGGAAGGAAGGAAGGAAGAAAGAAAGAAAGAAAGAAAGAAAGAAAGAAAGAAAGAAAGAAGAAAGAAAGAAAGAAACCAGTCTCCTCTAGAGAATTATGTCCTTTAGGCCACAGTACAGCAATATAGAAAAACTTCCTGAACATGTGTCTGCACCACAGCGATGGTGATATATATATATATATATATATATATATATATATATGGTGATATATATATATAACTGCTTCAGGGTACCAAACTCTTGCAAGTGATTAGCTGAAGATCGTTAGCTGAAGCACAGGAAGCTGTCAGAGTTAGTGAGTGTGGGTGTTCATAGATATACAGGCATGCAGCATATTGGGTTTTGTTTGAAATTCTAGGTTGCTGTTTGACCAGCTACTGGTTCATTGCCCTTTTTATTTTATTTTTAGTTTCACCATTACTGTTTACCTGCTTATTCCTCCTTAGAAGGTTCTGTCAAATAGAGACACATTCACCTCTGTCCTCTGTACAGCAATAAATCTGCCAGGGAAGAACGTCCTGTCAGCRCGGGGAGAGATGGGGGAGCCTTGTTGCTCCCAGTGGACGCAGCTTTATGAACCGGAGCAGGGTTTCTCTCCAAGGGAATGGCCATTATTTCATGGTTTTTGGAGAGAACAAGACCTGAAGGGACTTTAAGAAACTTTCCTTTAGGAGATTTCTACTGTGAGAAATAGCAAATAGTGAGGTCTGTTGAAGGGCTTTGCTCATCCTAATGTTGAGGTTTTTGGAGAATGTGCTGGATAATGTTACTTAAATCCCAGTACAGTTCTTAGGATAAGGCAAGCACTGTCAG